GTTGCTGACTTTGGATGAACAGAAAGAATTAACCATTAGGACAGGTTATCTAAGATACTGAATCGATTTCTGTCTCACTACCCCCCACCTCTGACAGTCTGTGATTGAACAGACAATTGAGACTGCTCGAAAACAATAGCCATATATGGTAACTGTCATCTAATGTCTAGGAGTTCCCCTAAGACTTCAGATAAAACGTAAAACGTTAAATCACTCTGTGGGCTGTAAAAGTGGAACTCCAGCCAAAACTCTTTTAGTTTTAAAGGTAAAGGTTTGAAAAGGTTTTGAGTGGTAAAGGTTTGAAACTTTGGTTGGGGTGTTTGCTGCCTGTGATAGATTTACTCCTCTCTTCCTGTTCTAGTGACTAGATTGCTAGTGAGGGAAAATATCCACAACACGGACACATACAGCAATAAACACTGACTGATGTTCCATCCCTCCCTCACTCTATTAAAAACTAAAAGAAAATAGTTCTGTCCAGATTTCCACATTAACGCTATACAGAAAAAATAAATGGGTTAAAGACAGACCATGCATCCAATTTACTGAGTTTAATGTACCCATTATAGCCAGCGATTAAGAGACTCCCATGTGTGCTTCTGGAATGGTCCACAACCTCATGTGCCACAATTATGTTCCTTCTCTGTAAGCAACATTAAACAGCTTACAATGGGCAAAGTCAGGAAAACCCATTCTGTAAAGGGGCGATCTGGTACACCACAACCGGGGCAGTCCCTACCTTATTCACAGCTGCTCCTATAGTATACATTCCGGCCGAGAGCAGTGTGGGGGGTGGTTCCATGTGTCAGGCTTCTCCTCTCTTCCTCCCCTTGCTGCTTGAACTATGAACAGGCTGAATAGTGATGCTGGGTGTGTGTTTTGCATTGCATGTGTATTATGTGTCCTGCATTGCATGTGTATTAGGTGTCCTGCATTGCATGTGTATTATGTGTCCTGCATTGCATGTGTATTGTGTGTACTGTATTGCGTGTGTGTATTGTGTGTACTGTATTGCGTGTGTACTGTATTGCATGTGTATTTTGTGTACTGTATTGCAGGTGTATTGTGTGTCCTGTATTGTGTGTCCTCTATTGCGTGTCCTGTATTGCGTGTGTATTATGTGTACTGTATTGCGTGTGTATAGTGTACTCTATTGCGGATGTATTGTGCCTGTATTGTGTACTGTATTGCATGTAGTGTACTGTATTGCGTGTGTCCTGTATTATGTGTGTACTATGTGTATTGTGTGTGTACTGTGTGTATTATGTGTTGTGTGTGTATTAGGCCTCATTCACACTGGGCGCACACGTCCATGTGGCGTGCACACCTGTAAACAGTTGATCCCGGGAGGGAGAGGTGCTGCGTGTGATTGCGCGCAGCAACCAGTTCTCCTCTATGGGAGAACACAGATGTACACTGTCATCCGTGTCTGATGGATCCTGTCTGTGTCCAAGTGCGGACCCCCGTACCCACATAGATGTGAAGTCCAGGTGTCCGTATGACATAGTACAGCCGTGTCCTCCCATTTTTCTTTTTAAGAGTCTGTGGAACGTGCGTCTAAAACGAACTCCCCTGTGAACAAAAAAAGTGAACCGTGAAATCACAGCACACAAGAACGTGCACAAGGGTGCTTGGTTCTTCAATAAAGAAGGGACCTCGATTCCCGACCCCCCGGAGCGCAAGGCTCCTGACGGGGGCTGAGACTGTTGGTCCACCTACCCGAAGGCAGGCGGACCCCGATCCTTTGGGGACCTGCCCGAACAGGTCCCTACAGCCGTGTCCTCCCATAGGGAACAACAGGCTGCTGAGCGCAACCAAGCGCAGCACTTGTCCCTCCCGGGATCGGCTGTTTACAGGCATGCATGCTGCATGGATATGTACGCCCAGTGTGAGTGAGGCCTTAGGTGTTGTGTGTGTACTTTGTGTGTTTTGTGCGTGTGGTCTGCCGTGCGTTGGTTTGTACAGCGATCATTCCTAAACTATAGAGGATCTTCAGGGGTGGGCAAACTATGGCTTTGTAACTGTGGTGGAGCTCCAAGACCCATGATGCATTGCAAGACTTTTGCATATGCATGGCTCCAAGCGGTAACATGCATGGTGGGATTAGTAGTTTTATCCCAGCTAGGGGAATGAAATTTGCCCACCCCTTGTAATAATGCATTTGGTGGATTTTATATATGCAAAGCCCAAGGGGGCCCCGTAATCTCTTATCGCCCAGGGGCCCCATATGTTGTCAGTCCGCCCCTGCCTGATGCGTGTTTTTATTAGAAGGCTGGGGGGCTGTCTAGATTCTGCTACAATAGGCAAAATAGGGGAAAAAAGCTAAGATTTTATTGCCTAGGCCCTTTGTTATAAACTGTAAATATTAATTTCTCCATAATGCCCTTAGCTACAGAGGTAATGAAGGCTTGTTTTAACCACTTCAAGACCAGGTGTTTAGACCCCCTTCCTGGCCAGGCCATTTTTCAGTGTTCAGCGCTGCAGTCCTTTGACTGACGTTTATTCTGTCATGCAACGCTGTACTGAAATGAATTTTATACCATTTTTTGGGGACAGATAGGGCTTTATTTTGGGGGTATTTAATCACCACTGGGGTTTTTATTTTTTATTATAATTAGGAAAAATTACAGAAAATTTTGAAAAAAAAAAGTTTTTTAACATTATGTTAGGAAACATTTATTATTAACCAGTTTTTTGGTAAAATATAAAAGATCGGGTCACGTCGGGTAAATAGACACCAAACATGTCAAGCTTTAAAATTGCGCGCACCCGCGAAATTGCAGAAAACTACCATACCCAAAATTGGCCATAGGCGACACTTTAAAAGCTTTTACCGCTCATCAGTTTAGTGTTATCAGTGATTGATGGCCCTAGACTTATTGCTCTCACTCCGACGTTCGCGGCGATATGCAACATGTGCGGCGCAATGGGCGCAATCGTCTTTTTCGCACGTATGCGCCCCCGACGCATGTTTGCATGCGTGTATGTATGGGTGGGGACTTTAAAAAATTTTTTTGTTTTTTTAATTCTTTTTTTATGTGTAACTTTAAATTTGGGGGGGGAACTTAAATTTTTTTTTCCTTTTTTTTTTTCCCACTAAACTTTATTGCTATCACATACGGGGGCTAATAAAACCCCCTTATGTGATAGCAAAATATGTGACAGGTCCTCTTTATGGAGACATCAGGGGTCTCCAAGACCCCTAATGTCACCTAGGACCCCCCAAAAGAAGCTGATGAAGCAGAGATCTGCTCCATCAGCTTCTTTCCAGCTTCTGAAGCTGGAGAGTGACACAAGAATGCGGAAGTGATGTATTATACAACACTTCCGCATTCTTGCAGAGGAGAGGGGACCGGAGGGAGCTCGTGTACCGAGCTCTCTCTGATCCCCTGTGACACAGCCGACATGCTGATCCCGGGCTCGCACCGGGGCACAGCGGAGCCCGGGATCAGCGGGACAACGGCAGGGGGGGGCCGCGGAGGGGGGGGGCACCGATCGGCACCCCATACACGCGATCCGCCGGCTCTAAAGCCGGCGGATCGCTTGTATGGTATCAGGCATCGCTGCCTGTTTTTAAAAAACGCCAATTTCCCGCTCGCGCGCGCTCGGCGCGTGTCTGAGCGGACGTCTAGAGACGCCCGCTCAGATCTAGAGAGCTCCGGGCCGGCCGTTTTTCTACTACGGCCGGCCCGGAGGCAGTTAAAGTGCTTTTACTGCTTGTATAGAATATGCAAATACTTTAGTGTGCATACTCTAGTCAAAGGTTCATTTTGAGTTCAGTGCATGCCCAGTGCACAGGCATTACCTGATCCCCTGAAGATGTAAGATGTCAATGGCAGGGTCAGCCTGTTGATGTCCACGCAATTGTGTGAATGTCATTTCAGGTTTGCTTTTTACCAGACACAATATACTGAACAATTCTCCAGGGCTTCACTAACCTCTTTCATGATTTTTATTGCTTCAACACGATTTTGTGGAGGTGCATACAGTAGAATGCGATGGTAGAGTGACTGCAAGACTGGCCTCATAGACTCAACTGAACCCATAAGTCGAACTAGCTCTGCTGCAATGTAATAAATAGTCCTGGCAACTGGGCCACTGAGAGCTGGTGCTGTAGAAGAACATGCAGATCCCCGACCCTGATCTGCTACACCTGTTGAGTGACAGTCAGAGGTCACACAGATGTTTTTGTGTGCAGAGGTTATAGTTTTGTCATGGACTGGGTTTCCAAGGATCACCACAAGAGCGGGGCACAGCTGCTTCCTGCATAGATATATAAAAACAAAAAAAACACCCTTAAAGAATGACTATAAAAAGATGAATGGGGAATTATTATGATGATGACAATTTGAAAAAAACCAAAAACAAACAAAAGTAATAACAATCACCACAAAAAAAATAGGATATATGCTCTCACCAATAACTGCTTTTCTTAAAGTTCATTAGGATATACAGGGTTATTTTTGAGATTAATGGGTTATACTACTGCCTACAGGAAATTGGACACTAGCAACAAAGCTGTTAGACAAAAAGATGGACATACCATGTCCTGGTTAAGATGAATGGGAGAAACCACCCTAGGGAGAAAGAAGGCTTTGGGCCTTCAAGACAACCTTGTCCCTGTGCAGCACCAGAAAGGGTGCCTTACAAGACTAGGCAGGTTACTTGCCTTGCAGAGGTTATGGCAACAAGGAAAGCTACCTTGTGGGGCTTTGATGAGGATATGTAAGTAGGCCTCCTTGATATCCACAGAGTGGATGGAGGGAATCGATGACTGACCTGATCGATTCCTTGCAGAATTTTTGCAGTTAATTGAATACATTGACAGCCCTTAAATCCAGAATGGGGTGAATGACCCTTTTGCTTTGGGGACAGAGTAGTAGAGCTTGAAATTCTAGCTTGCAAGCCCCTGGCATTCTGCTAAGATGTTAGTAAAGAAACACGAGCTTGATGGGTGTGGGAGGGGTCTTATCTAGCTAACAGCTTTGTTGCTAGTGTCAAATCTCTCATACGCAACAGTATAACCATCTTGTCTTCTATTAATTATTGCCAATTATTGTCATCCCTTTCCCAATCCTGGGGTGCCTTCTGGCTTTGTCAGGGGTGCTGTCAAATGTTTGCTAAAGGGGGGAAACTCTGATGTAAAGAGGGCTTTACAAAATGCCATAGCAACCCAGTCTAAAATGTAACATTTTTACATTTTAGACTGGGGTGCCATGGCATTTTGCATACTTTTAAAAGATGCCATGGATCAAAAAAAGTTGAGATATGCTGCCCTAATGAACAATAAATAAAACTGCAAGCCATTACTGCTACTTACCATATAAGGTCCATAAATCCTTTGTGAAGATTCAAAGCAGGAGAAGAACTACTGAGCATTGATAGTATACATTCTAGATACAGGAGCTGTAATGGATGATTTTCACTGTAAAAACAAACATTTGAATAAGTTAAAATGAATACTCTGAGAGCTCATTCATACCTATGCATGTGCACTAAGCATATGTTAATGCGCATTGCAATGCATAACACACGTTGTATCTGCATATTCATTTTCTTTGGGCCTGGAGGTTCAACCCATCAAAGAAAAATGTACCTGACCCACTTTTTGGCCAATGCACCATGCAATATTTTGTTGTGCTACGTTGAAGGCTCAGGGGTATTGTTAATTGTGCTGACATGCACTCAAAATATTACAGCAAGAGAGTCATTTTGATAGCCAGGCAACTGGTAATGGAAGCCTGCATGTTTCTTTCAGGAAAAGTTTCCTTTAATGATCATTCAGGGGTTGGTTCTTTCAAAACTCCACTCATGCATATGATGGAGTCTAGGGATTAGAGTATTATCATTAGAATGGTTTAACTTTTACCTCCTTTAATAGTAGATTATCTACAGGGCACACACTGGTTCCACAATCCAAAATAAGGAAGCTGCATCATGAGCATGCAAGGACTTGACTGATACTGATTGAAAGTAAAGTCCATTTTTTACAGAAATAAATATAACATATATAAATGCTACACAAGGTATTTTGTTAATTAATATTATTTAAAAAAATACCTCTCCATTTATCTCATTACGTAGACACTGTAATTTGATTATAACCTGAAGGTGTTTTGTGATCTGGTGCTGTACAAAATGCCCCAGAAATCTAATTTCCTGCTTGTGAGATTGGTTCACTGCTATTCCCATGTCAAAGTTCAGGCTTCATTTTTGTTGACGTACCCTTAAATGCTCATGCTCTACTGAATTTTAAGGCAGAGAGTTTTGATGGCCAGACAACGATCCTTTGATGGCCAGACAAACGAATCATTGAACCCTCAATGAACCCTCACTGATGGTAATGCTGCAGAATGTCAGTCACCAGTGAGAGAGTGAGAGAGCAACGCCTAAAGCTGGCCATACACGTTACAACCATCGCACGACTTGAGTCGTGCGATGGTTGTGAAGTATTTTAAAGCTCGTACGATCTGCCCATCTTGGACAGGCAGATCGTACTTGCGATCATTGAAAGCCCGCCCCGCTGAGGGGCAGGCTTTCGATGACTCCAATACCGCATGGGCAGTGCGCTTGCGCACATCGGCCCGTGCTGCTTTTTTCTCTCCCGAGAATGCCACTAACCCGCCGACAATCGTACGATTCTCGGCGGGTTTTCGAGCCTGCTTGGGAGACAAAAGACGTGTGACCCTACAGTAGAAACGGTCGCACGCCTTCCATCGTACGATAACCGGCAGGTGTATGGGCACCTTAACTCTGTCAGACCGCAAAGGATCAACTTATGTAAATGGGGGAGTATTTCTTCTTCCCATCCCATCCTGCATAGCGATCCTGTTGCTGGAGAGTTGTCACCAGTAGCAGGATTGCAAGTGTGACATTGCTCATGCAGACACAGTCAGGTAAAAACTCCACAAAGCATTACCCTTTCCTGGGCCTGTGATGACAGCTCTTAAAGCAATACTTAAAGATTACTATTTGCAAATATATGAAAAGGGCTAATGTGCTTTAAAGTACACCTACTATCCTTTATAGAGGTGCACCAAAATGAAAATTTCAAAACCAAAAACAAATCCAAAATGAAAAAAAATGTCAGGCCGAAACCGGAAATATTTTTTTTTCTTACCTTTTCAAATTTCTTACAAAATATTTTATTCTTATTTTTTATAAACGTTTAAATTTTTACATTTATTTTTAATACATATATATATTTTTTTTACTTTACTGTTAGGGGGGCTAAACAAACCCCTGATTTTTCCCTTTTAAAATATAAAAAAAGAGACTGAGAATACAGAGTCCTTAATCTCTTTTTCTGCAGCCCCTGTTATAAATAAACAGGAAGCCTCTATACTGAGTGCTCCTGTTCATTCATAACTTGTGAAAACAGTATGTTTATCATGTCCACAATTATGAATGAACAGGATACAAGCACTCAGCTCTCCCTGTCGGTCACAGGAGGCTGAGCGGGGGTGGTGCGGGAGGAGAGCTCAGCCTCCTGTGACAGTACTGCAAGCTGGCTCTGCCCCCACACCACCGCTCTCCCAATGTGTCACAGGAGGCTTAGCGGTGTGGGAGGAGAGACGCCAGCCACTCACATCGCTCTCCTCTCCAGCAACGCTGGGCCTCCTGTGACAGTTTCTCTTCTCCCTGCTGGGACACAGAGTAGCGCCCAGCAGGGAGGAGAGAAAGTAGGGATGCACCGGTATTTCGGCAGAAAGATGGGACTTTCGGCATTTTGACAAAAGTGCCATTTTCAGATAATATGTTTTGGCAGCCGAAATTTCGGTGCATCACTAATCCTTTACTATTGTTCACACTGCTGTACAAAACAATACTCTAGTAAACCTATTGTTACAGCTGCCTCAAGAAATTGAAATAGACATTGGGGCATTTGAAAAATATTGCAATTGACAGTTATTTAATGCATAGCAATTAGCTTAACAATATATCTCATTTCCTATGTATTCTTAAAATTATAATAATGATTATAACTAAACTAATCTAAACTAAAATCCATAGCTGAATTTAGTAAGTAAACTTGGCTTTCAGCTATGAATAGCAAAACTCTTTCCCTAATTTTTATTTAAAATATAAAGCCCCGCAGTACTTACTTAACAACAGCCTGCAGTTTGTCACAGAGTACAGTTAGCACAGATACAACATCATCACACAGTGCTTCCATGGATGGACCAGATTCTATTAAAAGATGAAAAGGGAAGAGTGCATTAGATTAGATGCATACTAATGTAAATGCAGAAATATTAGGCCATTTATAAAAAAAAATATTATTGTGTCCCAGGCTCACATATCTTGTACGTTTTTCCTTTTACTTTAGAGCATAGCCCATCAAATCTAATAAACCATTTAAATGTGGATACTCAAAACGAGGGTGGACACGCTCCTTGATACATAACATAGTTATATATAGACTTCTGATAAGACAATTGTATTCTGGCAGCTAGAAGAGCTGCAGTGTTCTGGCTTTGTTAAGAAGACTTTTGGAGTACTGTGCAAGTGATAGGTAGTTGCATGGCCTTCTTTTGCCTGCCTGCTGGTCTAGCCACGAGTTTAATAATATATACACACGTGCCAATATAGATTAGATACCAGCATGCGGTCTATTCTGGCAACTTGATAAATACATGCATATACATTGTCAGTAGTGCAAAACCAGTCTAGGACAACCTAATCTATAGGATATTCAGGACATACTGTAAATAGTGTGGCAGTGCGTGTGATGGAGTATGCTGGCAACAGGGTCACCCTGGACTCTCAGCCAGAAGGGTTGAGAGGTTCCAGAATGAAAATAGTTTTGCTGGGAAGAAACTGGCCTTTCAGTTTCTTCTGGTTTTTCCAGGTTGAATCCTCTCCAGCAACGCTGGGCCTCCTGTGACAGTTTCTCTTCTCCCTGCTGGGACACAGAGTAGCGCCCAGCAGGGAGGAGAGAAAGTAGGGATGCACCGGTATTTCGGCAGAAATGTATTCTTAAAATTATAATAATGATTATAACTAAACTAATCTAAACTAAAATCCATAGCTGAATTTAGTAAGTAAACTTGGCTTTCAGCTATGAATAGCAAAACTCTTTCCCTAATTTTTATTTAAAATATAAAGCCCCGCAGTACTTACTTAACAACAGCCTGCAGTTTGTCACAGAGTACAGTTAGCACAGATACAACATCATCACACAGTGCTTCCATGGATGGACCAGATTCTATTAAAAGATGAAAAGGGAAGAGTGCATTAGATTAGATGCATACTAATGTAAATGCAGAAATATTAGGCCATTTATAAAAAAAAATATTATTGTGTCCCAGGCTCACATATCTTGTACGTTTTTCCTTTTACTTTAGAGCATAGCCCATCAAATCTAATAAACCATTTAAATGTGGATACTCAAAACGAGGGTGGACACGCTCCTTGATACATAACATAGTTATATATAGACTTCTGATAAGACAATTGTATTCTGGCAGCTAGAAGAGCTGCAGTGTTCTGGCTTTGTTAAGAAGACTTTTGGAGTACTGTGCAAGTGATAGGTAGTTGCATGGCCTTCTTTTGCCTGCCTGCTGGTCTAGCCACGAGTTTAATAATATATACACACGTGCCAATATAGATTAGATACCAGCATGCGGTCTATTCTGGCAACTTGATAAATACATGCATATACATTGTCAGTAGTGCAAAACCAGTCTAGGACAACCTAATCTATAGGATATTCAGGACATACTGTAAATAGTGTGGCAGTGCGTGTGATGGAGTATGCTGGCAACAGGGTCACCCTGGACTCTCAGCCAGAAGGGTTGAGAGGTTCCAGAATGAAAATAGTTTTGCTGGGAAGAAACTGGCCTTTCAGTTTCTTCTGGTTTTTCCAGGTTGAAGCTGGGATCTGGATCTCTGGAGATTTATAAGCGATCTGGGTGGGATGAAATCTCCAGTCCTGAGGTCAGGTGTTGCCGGTGATCAGGTGGCTGAGAGCTGCCTCATTAAGAGTCCAGACCAGAGCTCAGGGGAGGAGGTATAGTGTGTGCTGGAGGCACATGAGGACAGAGGCAGGTGGTGTGTTGGAGCCACCCCAGGAACAGGCAGGGCGGCTGGAGGAAACAGACAGTCGCCCTGAGGCTTGAGCAGCAGTGCTGCAGGAGAAAAACTTTTAAGGACTAGGACACTGTGAGCCAATACATGTTGTTATGCTGAAGACAAGCTATTTTATGTTGGACTTCCTTGGTTGTCTGCCTTTGAAAAAATAATAACCTACTTTGGTTTGATGGAAAAGCAATGTGCGAGTGCTGTGTGAGCTCCCCAACATTACACTAGACACCTTAAAGCCTTGGTTCTCAACTGGTGTTTCGTGACCCAAAACTATCAGTTCCAGCGGCAGGAAGCCATTCAAAATATGCTGCCCAGCGCAGAGTGTCAGCTTGAGGTGGGATGGGGCTGTGGCCGCGAGGGAGCTCCATTCATACGTGCATTGCTTACAGCTCCCTCACATGTCCTATAGGGGTGCCTGGCCTGGAGTGACATCACATTCTGGCTCCCGACACCTCTACAGGGAGCGTAAGGGAGCTGTACAAGCAATGCACATATAGTTGGAGCTCTGTAACAGCACAGCAGCCCACACTGGACCCCAGGCTGGGGATCCACTCCAGTTCTCGTAAGGTAGGGAGACTGGGTGGACCTTAAAAATAAATTTAAACATTTTTGGCGTGTGTGTGTGAAAATGTCTCAGGGTGTGAGATTGTGTAGGTATGTCAGTGTTTTTGAGTGCCCTTTCACACTAGTACAGTGCGTTAATCGCATAGTATCACGTAATTGCACCTAACGTGCATTCATTTGAATGGAACCCCAAATGCATCTCCCACCCACAGTTCGTACGTCTGCACCGGAAAGCGCGGGACCCTAATCCTGTGCCTTCCCTTGCAGTGCGACTTGGGTCGTGACATAGTGACCAACAACAAATGTGGGTCCTGAGGTTACACATGTTGAGAACCACTTCTTAAAGCATATCTAACCCAAAAACAAGAAAATTATATATTGCAGCTTACCAGTCTTTTAATATGTTTGCTGCATTCATTTTCTGTTTTTAGGTGGCTCC